ACACACACACACACACACACACACACACACACACACACACACACACAGGATTAAGTTCTGTTTCTCTGAAGAACCTAGCTTAACATAGAGAAACTTAGTAAACAGAAGAATTTTACCATATGTTCTACTCAGTCTTTCCCTTCAGTTTACTCTGTAAATCTTTTAATAAGCATTCCAGACCTGGAATCCATAAAGGTTTTTCCTAGTTCACTGAAAGATTTAGAGTGTTATTTGTCATATTTAGATTTTGAAATTGCTTGATAGTGATTTTAAAAAACATTTTAATTAAAAAAAAAACACAAAAACTGAGCCCCCCTGAAGAGAATTATACCCCACCAAGGACAATGCATAGAGAGGACCTAAAACCCCAGCTCAGATGTAGCCATAGACTTAGTCTCCAAGTCGGTTCCCTAATAAGAGGATCAGGAGCTTTCTCTGGCATGAACTCAGTGGCAGGCTCTTTGATCACCTCCCCCTGGGTAGGGGGCAGTACAGCCTTGCCAGGCCACCAAGGAAGACAATGCAGCCAGTCCTGATGAGACCTGATAGGCTAGGGTCAGATAGAAGAGGAGGAGGACCTTCCCTATCAGTGGACTAGGGGAGGGGCATAGGGAGAGAAGATGAGGGAGGGTGGGATTGGGAGGAGACAAAGGAGGGGGGCCACAGCCAGGATACAAAGTCAATAAGTTGTAATAAATTATAAAAAGAAAAAAGAAAAAAAAACCACCAAATGGCTATCATTCTAGCTTGCTTATTTGAAAATGTGACTGCACAGATCTGCAGCAGGTTCTCTGTGTATATATTATAACTTTCAGCTCAGCATTTTTATGGGACTCATGAAGATGTGAACAAATGGATCTCTCATTCTCGTGCCTGCTTTGGGGGCTCTTTTCCTTCGGTTGAATTGCCATGCCTAGCCTCTTTTTTATCTTATTTTATTTTGTCTTGTTTGCTTGTTATCGCTTAAAAGCCTGTTCTTTTCTAATAAGAGACAGAAGGGGAATGTATCCAAAGAGAGAGGAGGTGAGGAGGAACTGGGAGAATTAGTGAGAAGAAAGTGTAATCAGGATATATTGTGTGAGAAAATAATTATTTTCAATTAAAAAAAAAAACGAGGTTGACACTTTTTCTCAATTAGAGGCTGAAAGCACAGGTATACCCTATAATATGGCCTTATTTATTTACTTAGATTTTGGGGAACAGAGTTTAATATAGCCCAGGTACAGTTTGGACTTACTATGTAACTGAGGATGACTTTGAACTCCTTATCCTTCTATCTCCTACTCTCCAATGCTTGGATGGCAGGCATGTGCTTCCATATCCAGCATTTATATTTTAGTCAATAGTAATTTATTATTCAAAAATTATGAAGAAGTTATGTTCTCTTCTGAAAGATATAAAATTAGGGTTTTGTTTCATACTTAGGCTCATGACTGCTTCATATGATAACGTTACTTTCTCAGTGTTGCCAGATATACTGTCTAGAACCTCCAACTGAATCAGTGTGGTTGTTACAGCTACCTTGATCTCACAGAAGTGATCATCATTTCACTATGAAAATCTATAGTATTTGGTATAGGGTCTTTTGACCTTTTCCACAATAAGTAAATTTTATATTATCGGCTCAGTTTACTATCATTGGCTGATTAATGCATCAAACATATTCCTTGTATCTACCTAACATGACTATTCTCCATTAATTTGATACTGTGAGAAAATCTAATTTTTCCCATTGTTTAGTCTTAAATTAATTATCTAGATCACAAGTAAAATTAAGTTACCTATTGTGTATTATTTTTGATCATATATTTCTGGATGGGTTGCCCAAATTTTAAACTTTTTACAACTACCTTCATCCATGGAAATTGTGTATTTCCTTCTTTAATTCTCTCCAAGGTTATCCTGGTGGACTGGAAAGCTCAGCCAGTAAAGTACTTGCCCCACAAGCATGAAAAGTTGAGTTCAACTCCCCAAAACCCACAGAAAAAGTGGTTTGATTATATTTTCTTATATTTCTGGAAGGGATTTAGTCATTTCCTCTCTAAAGGCCTCTATCACATCATAAGATTAGATTTAAGGTCATATTCTTGTAATTCAGATGTGTTAGGATATCCAGGGCTTGTTTTAGCTGGGTTCTGGTGGTGCCATATTGCCCTGGGTTTGTTAAGTGTGTTCTTATGTTTATGCTGGCCTTTAGCCATCTGGTTGACCCTGGCATTGGCAGGCCTGGTGGTCCATGATGGCAGTAATTTAGGGTTTCAGACCCAGGACAAGTGGCTTGAGTACATATTTAACATACTAAAGTGGACCTGGCCTCCAGGTTCTCCCACCATTCCTCAGTCCCTACCTGGTATGCTCAGTCCCTATTTGGTATGCTCAGTCCCTACCTGGTATGCTCAGTCCCAGCCTGACAGGGCATGGCTGGCATACTTGGTCCTATGCCCTGAACTTTCCAGGGACTGGGCTTTCCTATATAACCCACACATTTTGATTCTCTTGCTCTCTCTGCATTTTCTCTCCCCCTGTATGCACATGCCCTTTCTGTTTCTCTTCCCCCTTTTCTCTTTCTCCCTCACCATGGTGACTTCCCTGGCCTCAAAGAATGAGGCCAGGGAACCCCTCTTGGATCTGCACCCAGTAAACCTGCCTTCATGCCTTAATATGCCTTCAATTGGCTCCTTTCATCAGTGGAGACAACCTATTAAGCACACCTCTGGGATTTCAGGTAGAGCTAGTAGTCTCTGCTGGCTGCCAGCCTCTGAGATTACAGATAGGCTGAGGCCCCAGAAATGGCCAGTTACTCTTTTTTTATTATTCTCTCACATGTTACATTCTAACTGCAGTTTCCTTTCCTTCTCCTTCCCTTACCTCGCCCCCTACTCTCCACCTCCCCTCTCTTCTAGATGTTTCCCCACACCTCCCCACAGAAAAAAGCAAGCCTAACAGGGACATCAACCAAACACTGCATAACAAGCTACAGTAGAACCAGGCACATCCCATCACATCAACGCTGGAAAAGGCAACCTAGCAGGAGAAAAAGAGTTCCACAAATAAGCAAAAGAGTCAGAGACAGCCCACACTCCCGCTGTTATGATTTCCACAAGGATACCAAGCCACTCAGACATACATATGTGTAGATGACCTACAGGTTCCCTGATCTCTGAAGTTCCAATGAGTCCCTGTCAGTTGATTCTGCGGGCCGTGTTCTTCTAATGTTTGGCTGTGGTACTCCGCATCTGTTCCCATCAGTTGCTGGATACAGTCTTCTCTTGTGTCTTAGATGACAATTCTGCTAGGCTCCTGTCCCAGCACACTCCAAGTGTGAATATCAAAACCATACCAGCACTCATGTTGTTTGCAACATTATTCATAACAGCCAACATGTAGAAATGATCTAAATGGCCACGACCTCCAACATTCAGATTCTAGCTATTTATCCAAGATAGTATCTGAGAGTAGTTACCAGATGAAAATGGAATCCTCCCTTAAAAATCTAGATGCTATAAGATCAGTTCAGCTAATGTTCCATCAAGGATGGGGGAGGGACTCATGAGGCTCGAGGCTCTGCTTCTTCCTAAAGCATTATTGGCAATTGATAACTACTGAGGGAGAAAAAGTCATTTTTCTTTAGGGGTATGGCCACAAGAAGGCTCAGGTTCTTGTGAATGGCCCCAAACCCATGCACTTAGAAGCAGCAGTAACTAGACTCAGTGAATGATTTAAAAAAAAAAAAGAAGAAGAGGACATGAAGGTGGAAGGAGGCATGGTGGGAGGGACCTAGGCAGCTAAGGGTGCACATGATTGAGATATACTGAATACATGTATGAAATTTTCAATGAATAAATAATTTTATTCTTTGTACTGGCTATTGTTTGTATTCTAGGTACTAAAATAAAAAGCAACAACTAAGAGAAAGACTAGAGCAAACAAAATAGGATGTAGTAAAATTATATTCAATTGAACACACTCTTATCTAGATTGTTCTGGTCAGAATTCAACAGTTGGAAAGATTTTCCCCTGTGTAGGTTCCCAAAAGCTCATTCATTCAAAATCTAAAATACGGTATACTTCAGTACAAAAAGCATAATATCAAGCCAATATTATCTTTTAAAATAGAACAATTATTGTCAACTGGACACAACCTACAGTCACCTGAAAAGAGGTTATCTCAAATGAATAATTGTTAAGATTATGTTGCCTTGAAGCCTGTGAGAGACTGTCTTGACTGATGATTGATATGGGAGGCCCAGTCTACCATGGGTGGTACAGTCCCTAGGCGGAAGGCCAGGCTGTTTAAGCTAGCTAGCTGAGAACAGAGGTGAGCAACTCAATAAGCAATATTCCTCCATGGTTTCTGTTTGAGATTCCTGCCTTGAGCTCCTGCTTTGTCTTTCCAGGTTGTGACCTGGAAGTATATGCAGATAATACTTTCTCCTAAATTGTTTTTGGTAGAAGAGTTCTATTACAACAACAAGATTCAAACTAAAACAACAAACAATACCAAATTTACAAAACACATAAACTTCAGAACAATTATTTTTGTATTCACTAACTTGAGATTTCAATAATCCTGATCCATTCAAATTTACATACCTGACATCCTAAAGATACCTCTACTTCTTCATATTGTAGGAAAAAATGTGGAAATTTTCAGCATACAAGATCTTGAACAAGAAAACTGACTCTCTTCCACAATTCTGTCAGATCCCAGAAAATGTGAAAACCAGCGAGACTCATTGTGTCCTTCATTGTTCACACGGACACAATCAGCTGAACGGCACCAGGCACCAGGCAGAGCTCTGTAGAGCAAGATAGACTTAACTTCAACATCCTGCCCAATAGGGATACTCTCTGAAGAACACTTTGTCATTAACGAAAGTCAGATAACATTAGTTCCAGTAGTCTAAGATACCTACCTTTGTATATGGAATGATAATAGCAAGTGGTCATTAATATTTGACCAGTGGATGGCCCCACCCCCATGCATATATGGGAGGTACTAATTGAACACAATAGATTATAAATAGAATAAAATAAATATGACATGAAGTTGGGGGAAAATGCAAAGAGGAGGGGTCTAGAAGGCATTGGAGGTGGAAAGTAAGGATGATGAAATACACTGTATGCGTATATGAAATTCTCAATGAATAAAATTAAAATAATATTTAAAATGTAGTATTCAAGAACACTTGTTAGTATCCCAAATGGCATAAAATCTAAATGCTATCTTAATATTTCCTTTTTGAGTGACAAAAAGAATTAACTTAGCCCATGAGAACATTTTAAAAGAGTCGGGGAAAATTTATGTTTTAATATTACACAGGACATGTGTATTACATATTAAATAAATCCAATTTCATCTCAGTTTTGTACAAATATATTAGCCTGGGTAAACAGACATTATGAATATCTATCTAGATAAAAAGTTTTATTACACTGCAAAATACCTATTTATCTGTTTCCAAAATATTATCATGCCTTTCCCCTTCTCTGGGTTGATCTTTCTTTCCAGGCAGTTTCTTTGCAGAGGGGTGGAAAATTTAAGCCTCAGCAGCTGTCTGCTTTCAGACTATCAGTTATAATGTAAATGAAGGGGGCAGAAAAGCCTTTTCCCCAGAAAACTCTAAGAAAGACTTACAAGGACTCTACTAAATTTAGCAGTATGAGCTGAGCGGCAGTTGCCATGGAGCTTTTGTTTATTGCACAGACATGTTTTAGTTAGACAGTGTTTGTATAATCATTGTAGGACATCGGTTTTGGAAGGGACAGGAGCTGAAAGGTCAGATGGGAGAAGGGAAGATACCATTAAGGGTAAGGGAGGGAGTGCATGGAAAGACAGCTGGAATTAAGGGGCATTTGAGGGGTGGTATGGAAACTTTCTAAACTCTATGAAGGTGATCCTAATAAGGCCTCCTCATTAGGGGAGACAGAGTCCCACCCGACCATCTCTTGTTACCAAAGGAGGCTTCTAATAGCAGGACTGGGTTGCATCCGATTGTGCTGTTGTCCAAAGGCGTCCCACGGAAACCCTCAAAGAACTCAAGCTGTTGTCAAGACAATGGATGCTCTCCGCAAACTGACAGCAGGGCCATGTTGCCAAGGGTAATACCCTCACAACTCACTGAACATGGAAAAGTTGGGCTGGTGCCCACCCGTAGTGTCTTTGGTATGAGAAGGTACTCTGCAGGCTACCCAAAGAGAAGAGTACACAGCGACCGCGCCAGAAATCCTTCCACCTACAATCCAGCCTACCTGCAAGCTATGCTAGCACAGTGGTAACACAGAACTGGTGGGAATAGCCAACTAGTGTCTGATTTGACTTAAGGCCCACTCCAGGAGACAGAACCATAACTGAGATTGCTTGGGTGAGCACGAACCAGAGACTAGATAGCGCAGAGATCTAGGATAAAACTAAAAACACTACTGGTCTAAAAAGCAAAAGTATCAATAAAAATTACTCCTAATGATATTATGCTATACTCAGATCAGTGCCTTATTCGGTCATGATCAGAGAAGCTCCCTCCTGCAGCAGACAGGAGCAAATACGAAGACCCACAGGCAGACATTATGCAGAGGGAGAATCCTCGGAACACATATTTGAATGGGATGTCTTCATCAAATCCCTCCCCTCAGAACTCAGGGAACCTTGTAGAAGAGAAGGCAGAAAATGTGTAAGAGTCAGAGATGGAGGGAACCCAGGAAAACAAGGCCCTCTGAATCAGCTGAGCAAAGTTCTTATGAACTCACAGAGACTGGAGCAGCAAGCCATCTCAGGCCCAAATGAGGTCCTCTGTATATATATTCGAGCTTTCAGCTTAGTATTTTTATGTGACTTCTGAGTGTGTGAACAAGTGGGTCTCTGATTTTCATGCCTGTTCTTGGGGCTCTTCTTGTTTCCTTCGGTTGGGTTGCCTTGTCCAGCCTCAATGTGACGGGTTATATTTTATTTTGTCATATTTGGTTGTTATTTCTTAGAAGCCTATTCTTTTTTAATGAGAACTAAAATAGAATGGATTTGGAAGGGAAGGGAGGAGAAAACAATCTGGGAGCAATAGAGAGAGGGGAAACTCTATTCAGAATATATTGTATGAGAAAAAGAACTATTTTTAAACTAACTTTTAAAACTCAACGTGGAAAAAAAAATGTGAATTCATTGTACAGGAACAGAATCCAGGTATACCTAGGAGTCTCCTAGGTACTCCTAAGACACCCGCGTTGAAAATGATATGGTATAAGACTAGAAAGGAAAATGAAGCTGTTACCGCAATCAGGAAAAAGTTATTGTAAAGCAAAGTCAACAGGGATGAGAGACAGCAGGGCGTCACAGGGATGCTCACTTCCTTTCATGCTATACTCTGCTTCCATGTGTTACTCTTAAGAGGGGTGTAACTAAGGTTATGTAAATCACAGGGCACTAAGTAAAGTCTATTGATTGAATACCAACAACCTGCTCTAGACACTGAGGAACCTGCCTGACTCCATTTTGAAAGAAGGAGCCATTATGCTGTATTGTTAAAAATTAAGTTTCCATTTACTGCAAGGGCTGAGTTCTGTTTTTAAGGATCCGTTTCCTGAAACCTAATCTGCTCTAGTCCACGACCTTGACTTGCTTTTTGAGAACACCCTAACCCTTCCTAATCACTGACCTCATGGTGATGGATGGCTTGTTTGTTTTTGTTCCGGAGATTTTTTTTTTATTCCTTCCTGCTCCATTGTTTCACTTCTGCAAACCTGCTTTGCAACCAACTATTCATGATTTTACTCCCTAACAGGAGCCTGAGAAGCCTGCTCTCTTTAACCTGACTTAAGTGGCAGTCACTGGACAGCTTTCTGGTACACCCCATCAAAAACCAAGCTTGTAGTCGGACGTGGTGGCACACACCTTTAATCCCAGCACTCAGGGAGGCAGAGGCAGGCGGGTCACTGTGAGTTTGAGGCCAGCCTGGTCTACAAAATGAGTTCAGGACAGCCAAGGCTATACAGAGAAACCCTGTCTTGAAAAACAAAAAACAACAACAAAAGAGACCAAAACAAACAAACAAACAAACAAACAAAAAAAAAAAAAAACAGGTTTGCTTCAGAGTTGCCTCAAAAATTGTAGTAGTGGTCTTGTTCTTACCTCAAGGGGCATAAAACTGCCCAGTACTACTTATGTCTCTCACTTTGCTCTAAAACCTGCCCATCATAGGCAAGAGAAATGTGTGAGATGAAGTTGGGTGAATGAATGCATGGTGTGTAAGGCCCTACATTTGACCTAATAATTCTTCCTCCATAAAACTAATAAAGGAAAAAATGGGTAGATAGAAGCATTTTTACATTCTGTATCATAAAGGCACATTTGTATTCCATATTATAAAAATGAGTCTACAAGTACATACTAATAGTAATCTACCGTGCACATACTGTTAACGGTTAGTTTTTTCCTGAGTTAACATACAGAGTCAGAGGCAGAGAGAGAAAAAAGACAGATAGTGTATCGTTACCCACACCCACAGGAATAAGGGTCCCAGTGAGGTGTCACATGGGAGGACCAAGATTGTGAAATAAAGAAGACAAACTAGGAAATCCTGCGTAAACTGATGACTTCGCAAGTTTGTTAAGAAATACAGCATCTGATATATTAACTTACAGGGGGGAAATGGCCAAGGTCAGCAGAGAGCTAAATTAAACAATTCTGGCAAAGAAAACCTCAGACACAGCTGCCTAAGGACTGATAAGCACAGCCCCGGGGACTTGGGTTCTCAGAAGTGACAACTTTGACTCCTCCGGGGCCCCGACTCCACCCTAGAAGGGCCTGGATGAGGACATAGAACTGAAGCTGCCTTTGTCCTTTCATTGGGGCCTCTGAGAAAGTTCTGGGTGGTCTGGCTTCCCCAGGTTCCCACACGCCGCTGGAGAAATAGAAAGTTGATAGCAGGAGACACTAACCATACCCTAGGTTACAAGTGGCTGGACTCAGACACTCAGAGAATGCAGGAAGCACCCAGGGATGACAAGGAGAACAACGACGCAGACATCGAGTCTCAGAAAAGTTTTTTCCAACCTCACCACCCAAATAATCTGCTGACTGGCAATGGGATGGACAGCTGTTTGGGGGATGCTAGCCTGCTTCCTTTTCCAATTGCCAATTCTCCAAATGCAATTTAAAGGTTCACGGACCTCGGACAGGCGACACGACTTTGTATTACAAAATAATCTGAACACTACAGCAACATCTCAGTATTGGATCAGCTCTAAAGCCAATCTAAAATTAACTTCGGTCGTTTTAATAATGGACTTATAATGCTAAAATAAAGCATGAAAGACTGTCATTATTTGGTGGGATTGTAGTGAGAATTTTGGTTTCTTTGAAAAATATATATGTTATATAAATATGTTTTTGTTTTAATCCCAGGTGTGGGATATGGGGCTGTTTGTCCACAGGTGTTAACTACGATTGTCCGCTGTTCTAGGAGGGGTATGATTTTTGCCAGCTCTAGATAGTTCAATTCTGGGGACTCTGGGAAGCAGATAGACGGGAGAGCTCCGAGGGGGCCTGCAGCAGCTGCTGCCAGTTCCTGCTCTTCCATTTGCTGGGCTGCTGGGTATTTTGGCAATGAAGACAATGAAGATTAGACTTGTCCTAAGAACTCAAAACCCCTGATCAGTAGAAAGTACTCTAAACACGTCTGTGCTCCCTTTCCCCTCTAACCTTCTTTCTCTCTTACCTAGTGTTGGGGGTTGGAAAGGTGGGAGATATAAAAACCTAATAAACTATTGAGAAAAAAGAAAAAGAAAAAGCACAACATGGGATGATAGCAGTTTTTTCTTTGGTTCTGATACCATGAGAGGAGGGAGGACAAAGGAACTCAAGATACTCCAACATCTTTCCACATCAGAGTGGTCAGACCTAAGATACAACTCACACAGCTAGAGCAGATGGTTATTCAAATAAGGCCTCTGCTTAATTGTGACCTGAAGCCAGTACCCACTGCCTGTTATAGCTACTGTCTGTCAGCACACAGAGCTCAGAAAAGATTCAAACTTAAAACTGATGTGGAACTCAACTCCAAAGGGGGGGGGGGGGGGGGGAGGACAGAAGATAAAAATACCAAATATATGTTTGTATTTCTCACTACGAGGTCTTGCACGAGTTATCTAATGTTTAGATGACTTAATTCTTCCTCTGAGGATAGAAAAAATAATAATCCACAGATACTCATAAGGCAAATATCAAATATCAACCAGGCTCTTTGAGAGCTTTCCACCTCACCTATAAGCAAATCCCAGCATCTTTGATCTGAGCCTGGCAGCACAAGCTTGTAAACCGAGCTACTTAGAAGCTAAAGCAGCAAGACCTTGAGTTTTACACTTATACCAAAAATTAATAATAATTGACAATAATGTGGAGAGGCAATCGAGGAAGATGCCCCTGCTCCTCACAGGTACACACAAACAGAAGAGGTAACAGCATCCTGAGGTGACTTTTTTGCCATAGACTCCAGAGTACGCACAGTGGAGACAACGCTGGGAAACTGGCAAAGACTCACTGTTACGGCGCAGGTAACCACCATATTGTAAAGCACAAACTGGAAGGGTCAGCAGTGGAGGGGAAGTTCTTAAAACACCATCCTGCGGAAGGCCCTGCCTTACCATCCTCAAAACCTTGGGTGAACATACAGGGCACAAGGCGCTCAAGTAACGCTCTGAGGGTCTTTGTCATGTCACCACTCAGACTATGATGCAAGGAAAAGGGAAACTGAGCCAGGTAGTTTTGAAGTGCTTATTGCCAGGAATGATCCATTATTAAGAAAGCACTGCTGAAGCCCTTTACAGCCCAAGTAATGCAACGATAATGAGACAATCAGAGAAAAGAGATGATGTATTCCCAGACTATTGACTCACTGTGTGTTCCCAAGCATGTTTGCAACTGGGCCTTATATGTTTGATGCGTGAGTGCTAGACTACAAAAAGCAGTGATCTGCATGGTGATTTGGGAATCTCCCAGTGGGCACTCTAGAATATTTGTGAGTCCGTGTCCGTGGATGACATTGCGCGTCATGCCCACTGCGGGTTCTAGTCTGGGGGCAGAGGAAGCACTGATTTTTGCCAAGGGAAGTCTGGGTTGAGACTTAGTACACAGTTTTATCATAATGAAAGCGTTAATAGGACAGAAAGGAAACCCACAAAATACACTAAAAGTCATTTTAAAATTCTGAATTTCATCAGATTTAAACAATAGTAATCTTAAAAAGCCAAGCTCCTGTGTGTTAATGGTGTGGTTTGTGTTTGTTAAAAAAAAATAGAATACAGTGAGCTAGATTTTTTCACTTTATTTCCTCCAAAGCTTATACAAAAGCAGAGAAATACGTCCTCTCACAGATTATGTTGGTTTTGTTTCTCTGAAAATTTGTATTCTTTTACCTTTATTATTTTTATTTCTTTTTCACAATTTATTCATTATATATCCCAACTGAAGCTCCCTCCCTCAACTTCTTCCGGTCCCACCCTCCTTCCCTTTTCTCCCCATCCCTTCCCCTAGTCCACTAAAAGGGGAAGTTCTCCTCCTCTGCCATCTGCCCATAGCTTATCAAGTCTCATCAGGACTGTCTGAATCCTCTTCTTTGGCCATATCATCAGGAATGAGTGATCAAAGAGCAGGCAACAGAATTCATGATAGAGGCAGCCCCTGTTCCCCTCACTTTGAGATCCACATGGAGACTGAGCTGCCAATCAGCCACATCTGAGCAGGGGTTCTAGGTCCTCTTCCATGGTTTTCAGTTGGTGCATCAGTCCCTGCAGGACCCCCTGGGCTCAGATCCTTTAGCTTTGTTGGTCTCCTTGTGGGGCTCCTGTCCCCTGCATGTCCCTCTATTGCCACCCCTCTCTTCCTGCAAAAGACTCCCTGCACTCTACCCAAAGTTTGGCCCCGAGTCTCAGCATCTGCTCTATTGGGTGAATCCTTTCAGAGGACCTTCTAAAGTAGACTCCCATCCTGTTTCCTTTCTTCCACCGCTTCTGGTGTCTATCCTGTTTGCCATTCTGAATGAGATTTAAGCATCCTCCCTAGGGTCCTTCTTAGTGTTTAGCTTCTTTAGGTCTGTAAATGGCTATCCTATATTATATAGCTAATATCCACTTGTAAGTGTATACCATGTGTTTTCAAGTGAATGCTTTGGGCAAAAAAATAATTGTTAAGCGTCTTGTTTATGAAAGCAAGAATACATCATTTGAAATCATGTGGGGCTGGAGAGGTGGCTCAGTGGTTAAGAGCACTTGCTCTCAGAGGACCAGAGCCCAGCTTTATGAACCTCTGATTTTACTGGGCCTCCATAAAGATGCATGGGAAACCCTAAAACAGTTACATCACCGAAGAGTCCCACCCAGCCTAGGTAATGAGCTCCCAAAGCTGTGTAGATGAAATCTTCCTTCTAATATTCCACCTCCTGGGTACATTAGCACCCCCCCCAAAGCACATGCAGTTGGGCAGGACCAGGTGCAGCAGGTGGGATGGGAGAGAGGGAGTGGCTGTCAGCTCAGCTGAGAGTCAGCCACCCTCCCACTTCTCCTTCCATGGGGAAATAGTAACAGGCCCAGCCTTTGCTCTGATTTTTTAAGATGATAATAGCCATGAAGGACAGCATTCCAACCACCACACTGGGCCTTCTTGTGGTTTCTAAACACACTGCATAATGTAGGGAAAGTCAGATGACCTTTTAATTTAATAAATGAGATTTTACTGGGGGTGGAGGGAGCCTCACTAACTGCTGACCACTTTGCTAGGTAAAAGGAAAGTAGATACAAAGGCAACCTGATAATTTTCTTCAACAGGGAGAGTGCTGACTTTCTCTTATCTCAGTCTGCAGACAACAGTGTCATGTTCAAGTGGAAATGAAGAAACAGTCCAGTTTCTTACAGGAGAGATTGAAATAAAAATAATTATGGGCTGTATCACTTAAGTCAGTGTAAACTTGACACTCTTATCTTCAATTTACATTTTATTGATAAAATTTGAACTATGTGAGGATCCTACCAAAATATAGAATTATTAAGGGGTTGATATTACAGAGTCCAACTACCATTCTGCTCCACCCTCATTGTCTGGTCGCTGTTCCTCCACCACTTCAGTGAAATTCAAATGGCAATAACTGAAGTGAAGGTAAAGGAAGGATAAGCAATGTGAGCCCAGCAAGGCAAATCACTCTGTCACTGGTGCCTCCTCTGTGTATAGTGGTCAGAGAGGAGCAGACAGCAACAGTGTCTTCTGGGTATGCCAGGAGCACTGTACAAATGGACTGTCTCAGCAGCTACATAAAACCTGTACAACACCCAATCAGTCAGCATTCCAGCATGGAGAGGGGAGGGGCTCGGGAGCCTCCACCCCTAAATGAGGAGCTACCGGCAGTTGATGGTTTCTGAGGAGAAAAAAAATCAGGGCTTTATTTATTTATTTATTTATTTTAAGAGTATGGCACTTGGAATATCAACCTTGTTCTGGTAGAAGGCCCTACACCCATGAGTATATGAGTAGTATAAATTACGCTTGCTAGGTTATAAAAAAAAAAAAAATTTAAAAATTTAAAAAAAAAAAAGGTCAAAGTTGGGAAGCAGTAGGGAGGTTGGAGGGTGGATCTTGGAGGTGCTAAGGGAAAGATGGGGGCCTGGATAGGATCAAACTACATTGTACACATACATGAAATTCTCACAAAATAGTACAAAACAAACGTAAGCAGCAAAATCACTATGAACACTGGGCTTTAAATTATGCACATTAGTCCTTCAACAATTAGAAACAGCATTCATGGAAATTTTTCATTCCTTAATCAGATTCTATTCAGCTAAAAGCAAGTACAGCTCCCTTCTTAAAATGAGACTATCTGAAGGTCAGACGCAAATTTAAAATTGCAAATTAATCTCTTTAAAATGAATAAGAACTCATCCAACCGTCTGCATTCTGGAGAAACGGAGAACTGTTAACTTCTAATCCATGAAGCTAGAAACTTCAGCCAGCCCAAGCCTGCTGCTTCCGGAGGCCTGGGGTTCTTCATTTGATGTTGAAAAGCTGAAGAGATAAAATATAATGTCATGAGAGGACACTGGTGACAACTATAAATGTGTTCAGGAAGAAGGATATCCGAGTGGCATGGCTTTAGGTGCCACCTACTTTGAGGATGAGCCTACTGAACTCAGTTAATCTGCTCTAGAAACACCCTTATGGACACCCCCAGGGGCCATGTCTCCCAGACTCCAGTCTTCAAGTAAGACCAACTATCATAGTGGCCAAGAGGGACACCTCTAATTCCTGTGGAATCCCTACTGACTAGTAACAGACTAACAAGACCACTATTATCGTTAGCAATATTAACCTGATCTCGAAGCTGTTTAAGGACAATATCCTTGACTGCTTCCTTGGCATATTTTAAGCCTGACAACATCAGGAAATACTAGCTTGGTGGCTCCTTACTTTGGCGTCCGTGTATCAGCAGCTTGCTGATGTCTGGGTATTGTCATATCTACTTCCCACGCAGGAGGATTGCCAGTGAAATCTCCGCTACATTCAGCATCACAGATAAGAGGATAACGGCTAAATGTAAGGGGAAAAAAAAGAAAAAGAAATATCACAGGGGGTTGAAGATCTATGCAGACTTTGGAGTTTAGAAGGCTGCACTCAAGGCCAAATGCCGGTGATTGGTAGATACACTGATTCCAACTGGTTTTTCAAAACATTACAAAACAGTGATTATTGAGCATGGGTTCATGCTCTGACTCCATCACTGACCAACCAACCAATGACATTGGGCAAGAAATTCCACTCCAGTGTGCCACTTTCCTCACCTGGAAATTGATGTCATGAAATCTATGTCATTGAGTTGCCATATGTAACAGACTCATCATTCAAGTGAAGCGCTTACAACAGCGTAAGCCTATGATATGCTACATTAAAATCCTAGCTGCAGTGGGCAGTAGATAACATAGAAACTCCCAACTGGTCAGGGGTAGAAAACAAGCATCAGACAAAAATGAGTCATTTTTATCACAATCATATACATGTGTGTTTACACACACACACACACACACACAAAGACTGTAAAGGAAGAGGGTATGGAAAGATGGTAAGAGCTAAAGGTTAGGGAGCATCAGACAGTGTCTCTGAAGATGACAGGACCTCTGCACTCAAGAGCTCACAGTACCTGTGGTTACATTCATAAGACCCACATAACATCAAGCCATGCCCCTAACTGAGGAGTTATGAATAGCTGATGGCATCTGGGAGAGGTAGTCCGGGGTGTTTTGTTTTTAAGGATTTGGCTCTGGGTAGGTCAGTCATACCCCAGAGGACAACCCCACACTCATGAATATATGAGCAGAACAAATTGAAGTCAATGAGGTATTTTAAAAATTAAAAAAAAAGGAACACAGTGTGCGGGAATGAACAGAGGATGGAGGAGATAAAGAGGGGGAATAAATATGATCCAAATGCACTGCATGCAACTCTCAAAGAATTAATTAAAATATTGCACTGAAAGGGTTAGCTGCTATGGTGGGTATTACTTTGTGTAAGGGAACAGGCAGGGCAGCTCTCCAATAATGACTTGAATGGAAAATACATTTGTATCAAAATAAAATATTGAATGTGTTCACTCATATGTAGATCCTGAATCAGACACACAGGACATGAGCATTAAAGTATTATTTGGGTAAAGAAAGGGTATTAGCAGAAAGGGGGACAGTAGAGGGTAATGGGGTAAATATGGTCAAAGTATATAATACACTTGAATTTACATATATTTATGAGCCCCTTTACTATAGTCAGTGAATATAGCCTAAATAAAATGTTTTAAAGTGACCATAATAAAGTGAGGCAATTAGAGTGATGTTGTTCAAGTGATGAGGAAAAGTGTAATTAAAAATATAATATCACAACTTTATCGCCACATTTATGTGCACAACCATTTAAAACAAACCGATTTTAGATAGCTTTTTAAGTGTTCTTTAAATGATTTTAACCAGAAAAACCTAACACATTGCCAACTCCCCCCAAAAGCCAAGTTTTTCGTAACTTTGCTAAGACCCCATCAGAGTTGCTCATGATCTATACCTTGGACTTTCTCGAGTGGATCAACTAATAAGGTAGAAAAAGAAGCTAAATATCACCATATGGGTCTGATTCGAAACTGCTCCCTCTCCCTGTGGTTTGAGCCCCACCCGCTCATGCTGCATGCTGACCTTGATTTCTCCGATGTATGCCTGTATCTTTCAGGGTTTTGTTTTCCCTTTCTGTCCTCAGTAAACTTAAATCTGGACTTATTTTTGCAGCAGCCTAGTTTGATTAGCTGAGTGAGACCGGGGAGGCTTTCCACCATTCAGACACCAGCATTAGAAAAGTAAGTTGTCTTCCTCCTCTGCTCCAGCATTCTAACACTCTAGGAGACAACGGTAATTTTGACGAGGTGGAGCCAAGGACAAAGATTTATATCCCGTTAAGCCTTGGTTCCCCCACCACCACACCTACCCACGTCCATGCCACGCACGCCCTGGGTTGAGTGATTTAACATGTGGGGATTTGGGTCTCTTATCTAAAGTCTCAAGGTGCGGTTGGGGCCTCGGGCAGTGCCTGGCCTACGGCACTCACCTGTGCATTACGCAGGACAGCTGCATCTCAGCCCGGAGAGTACCGTTTCTAGAGAAGTATGTGAGTTTAGTCTCAAGCAGAATGACGTCATTAATAACCTACAGGAGCAAAGAAAAATTACAATCTGTGCTTGTCTCACAGATCTCCAAACACTGCAAGGAATTTGAAGAACAGTTTATTGGTACTTCCAGTTCTCAAAGAGAAAGGGTCGTGGGAAACTGGACCATTTTCTAAATGAAGAGACAGGTTCAATCTGGTACACCTCCTAGATGTAAAAGCCACATAATACTTGCTTATTGAAAGAGATCAGATCTTTGGTTCATAGTTTTTAAATTGTGTGCTCACACCTCCTTTCCACAAACACAGGGGAAGGTAAAGCACTGCTTATTGCAGAGAACACCAGCTTTCAGATCAGCTGAAACCCATTTTGGAATCCATGCTTGTGAGAATTTCATTTAAGTGATCAACTCTGATTTGTCTTAGACTGGGTCCCATGTCACCTGTGCTGTCCTTGAATTGTCTAGGCAGCCAGGCTAGCCTTGAACTCCTGCTGCTTCTCCTCCCTCTGCCTCTCCAGTGCAGGGTTTGCAGGGGTGCTGGGCCATGCCCACTTTCTGTGGCCTTGGGGATCAAACACAGAGCCTTGCGCGTGCTAGATGAGCACCCAGACAACTGAGATACATAGATACAGCCCCACGCGCCGCGTCATTTCTTAAGAACAAAAAGAATCAACCCCCTGATAGCGTTCCAGTTCTTATCAGTTCTCTGGCTGGACTGTTAAAGCATCTGTAGGGCCAGTCATAACTGAGTTCATCACAGCCTAGCATCTCCTTTTGCACAATAGGCATTCTCCCAAGGGCACTTAATAAACACCCTTGTATCCCTCATCCACTGCTCCATCTAAAAATTGTCTTCCTGTGTCACCAAATCCGTCATTCATCTCAACCTGTCAAAGTTGTGCCGTTCTCTTAACAAGCAATGTTACAGCAAAGTCTCCCTGGTTTTCATTTTCTTAATCAACTCAAAATAATGTTAGTGATATGCATAACTTTCACTATCAATGTCCCCCCATAAGGAACTCTGAAGGCCTTTGTCATGTTTAACCGAGGTTACTCCCTTCCACCTGAGGCTAGCCAAACGATGTGGGCTGTAATGTGCAACTAGTGTGAGAAACTACTTTGTGATGAAGAGAAAACAGTTCTCTCCCCCTCAGCTAGCAACTTAACATTATGTGGCTGTTACAGACATTAACCCAGCTATGTAACAAATAGAAACTTTATGATTCCCATTTTGTAGATCCAAGGAAGGGATCATAAACAATAATGTTTCTTCTTACTTTATTGACAATGCCACAGGAGTAAGTACGATAGGTAAAGTCATAGACATCATTTGGCCAGACGGTGGACACAGGGCAGCCGATTCCTAAAAACACTTCATCAGGTTCCATATATATATTGGAAAATAATATAGCCTTAATCCTGAGATAGAACCAGTGATTGGTGCATTGCAGACGAATGACTAAGAAATAGAAAAGAGAACATTCCTGTTAATAGGCTGTATGTGAATCATTGCAGAGCATTTGAGCAAATCTTGTTAACACACAAGTTCATCCCTTAACAAAACAAAACATGTTAAAGAGAGAAGCAAGTCTGTAAAAGATGGTCACATATTATTACTTCATCCGTAAGACACTCTTATCTACCAAAGGCATTTTTTAGTGAATCTGTCAGAGGGAGATCAATACAAATTTAAAACATTTTTAATATTTTAATTCTATTCTCTGAAGGTAATATTTTTCTTAGGACAAGTCTCACTGTGTAGCCCTGGGAACATCCTGTATAGAGCATACTGGCTTTAAATTCAGAGATCCACCAGCCTCTGCCTCCCGAGTGCTGAGATTAAAGGTGTGTGCTATCACACACCAGCCTCAGGAGTCAACATTTTATACAGCTGGGCATAAAAACACATTTTAATTGTATATTCCTCTAAACTAGCTCATGTTTTCATTTCTCTCTCCACAGCCTCATGATATATAAACGAAAGCACCAAGGGTTGATACAGCAATAAACACTTGTGAGAACATAGCAACCAACTTGTTTTGCTCTGCTTTTTGTTGATATTCCTGGGATGCCAGCTCTCTTGCCCCACTCCAAAAAAAAAAAAAAAAAAAAAAAAAAAAAAAAAAAAACAGGAGTAGTGGATCTGGGGATCTGGGGAAAAGAGGAGGTGGGAGGTGGGAAAGGGACTGGGAAGAGTGTATGGATGAAGGGAGAATTTTTTAATTTTATTTAAGTAAAACTACAACTCCTGAGGAAATAGAATTAGTCATTAAAAGGCTCCCAACCAAAAAAGCCCAGGGCCAGGTGGTTTTAGCTCAGAATTCTACCAAACTTTCAAAGAAGAGCTAATACCAATACTCCTCAAAATATTCCACAAAATGGAAACAAAAGAAAGATTGCCAAACTCGTTCAATGAGACCACAGTCACCCTGATACTTAAACGACACAAAGACTCAACCAAGAAAGAGGATTTCAGACCAATCTCCCTTATGAATAGTGATGCAAAAATACTCAAGAAAATACTCTCAAACTGAATCCAAGAACACATCAAAATCATCATCTACCATGATCACATAGGCTTCATCCCCGGGACTCAGGGATGGTTCATCATATGAAACTTTGTCAATTTGTTCCACCATATAAACAAACTGAAAGGAAAAAAAAAACATTATCTCATTAGATGCTGAAAAGACACTCAGCAAAATCCAACACTCCTTCATGTTAAAAGTCTTGGAGAGATCAGAAATACAAGGGGCATACCTAAAAATAATAAAGGCAATATACAGCAAGCCTAGAGCCAACATCAAATTAAATGGAGAGAAACTCAAAGCAATTCCACTAAACACTATATACATGATAAATAAATAAATAAACAAACAAACAAATTTTAAAAGAAAAAAAGAGATTCCACCATGCTACAAGGACACTTGCTCAACTATGTTTATTGAAGCCTTATTTGTAATATCCAGAAACCAGAAACAACCTAGATACCTCTCAACTGAAGAATGGATAAAGAAAATGTGGGACATTTACACAATGAAATCCTACTCAGCTATTAAAAACAAAGACATCATGAAATTTGCAGGCAAATGGGCAAAATTAGAAAATATCATCCTAGATATTGAGGTAACCTAGATACAGAAAGACATGCATGGTATGTACTCACTTATAAATAGATATTAACCATAAAGTACAGTATAACCAGGCTACAATCTGCAGACCCAAGGAAGCCCAGGAGGACCTCACTCAGAAGAAGAAATAGACATCTGAAGTAGATGGAGGGAGGAAATTGTACAGGAGAGGTGGTGGGAAAGTTAACAAGGTTGGGGATCAGGTGTGTGGAGAGGGGAGGAGTGGAGATGACAGGGAGAGAGAACAGAAATTGGCAGGGAGGTATCTCTGGGACAGGGAAGGCTCATGGGGGTCTATGGGGATGACCCTAACTGGGACTCCTAGCAGCAGAAGATATGGAGTCTGAAGTTTCCAGGTGAGACTTCCAGTCATGAGAGGGGCACAGCAACCCTCCCATAAAGCCTTTGACCCAAAATTTATCTTGCCCACATTACAAGAAGTGTAGGGATAAAGATGGAGCAGAGATTGAAGGAATGGCAAACCAATGGCTGGTCCAACTTGAGATTCACCCCATGGGAGAAAGCCAACCCCTGTCACTATTAATGATACTCTGCTAAGCATGCAGACATGAACCTAGCATAACTGTCTTCTGAGAGGCTTCATTCAGCAGCTGATGGAAACAGATACAGAGATCCACAGCCAAATAATAGGCCAAGCTAGGGGAGTTTTGTGGGAGAATAGGAGGAAGGATTCCTCTATCCTTCCTAGAGCTAGTGGGGGTCAAGGACACCACTAGAAGACCTACAGAATCTAACCTGTGCACATGGGAGCTCACAGATACTGAACCACCAGCCAAAGGGCATGGATGGACTGGACCCAGAGCCTCTACATATATGTAACAGATGTGCAGCTTGGTCATCATGTGGGACCCCTAGCAATGGGAATAAGGGCTGTCTCTGACTCTGTTGCCTGCCTCTGGATCCCTTTCCCCTAGCTGGGCTGCCTTGTCAGGCCTCAATGGGAAAGGATGCTCTTAGTCCTGCTGCTCTTGAGGTGCCAGGGTGGGTTGGTACTTCTTGGGGGGTCCCCTTTCTCTGAGATGGAGATGAGAAAATGGGAGGGGATGTGAGGGTTTGGCAGGGAGGAGAAAAAAAAAAAACTAAGTATCAAAAGAAAAAAAAAAAACAAAAAACTACAGCCCAGCAATCAGGTGCATGAAACTTGAGGGAGATAACCGTTACGATTCTCCTTTTAACTCAGAATATCTAGAGACAATATTATACACATACACACACACATGCAAACACACACAGACACACACAAAGTGGGAGCCAGACAATTCCAAATGTTTTATACTAAATAACACAACTGAAATGATAGAATTGTAAAAACATACAATTACGGTTGGTCAAAGATTAAGGGCTGGAATGGAAGAAGACAATACGGCGGCGCACTGTCACCTTTGATCCAAGTACTCAGAAGGCAGAGGCAGGAGTATCTCTGGGAGTTCAAGGCCAGCCAGGGTACATGGTGAGACCCTATCACCAATATACAAATAGATATGTATAAAGGAAAATGGGATTGCCTCTTTTTAAAACGTGAAAAACGTTAAAATGAAGAGCAACATGGCCTGCCCTCATAGTGATAGAGAAACTCTGAAATTAGCCACAATGACTAATGTTATTTTTATTTTTAAGTAAAACTAAGAAAATGACATACTGATTTTTCCTGTATTAGTACTTTTTGTTTGTTTTATCTGTTTTTTGAGACAGGTTTTCTCTATGTAACAAAGCCCTGGCTGTCCTGACCAGGCTGGCCGAAAATTCAGGGATCTGCCTGCCTCTGCCTTCCCAGTGCTGAGATTAAAGGCATGGGTTACCACGCCCAGATCTGTAGTACTTTTTATAAATACTTCTATAGTGGGAATTTCTAAAAATAAAAAGGATTTAAAAAAAATAAGAGCTTGATTTACTTCACACTCACGGAAATCAGTCACCTGTGAGTACTGAATATTCTAAGAATGAAAAAAAAAATTTTAAGGCAAGATTAATTTCTTCTCAAAAGACAAAACTGGAGCCATGATATCAGAAAAACCAAACAATGTCTGCTCTATGGCCCCACAGTTCTATTTCTAACAAGGCAAAAAAAAAAAAAAAAAAAAAAAAGTCACTCAGGGCTAGTGAGGTAACTCACTGGGAAAAGGCATTTGCCAAGTCTGGCTACAACACACATGCTGTGGGACCACACATATATGCACGCACACACACACACACCAATAAATAAATAACACTTTAGAAGTCCTAATAAGAACAGAAAAAAATTTTTTTTTCAATGTATCCATTCTATGGATTACAAAGTAGCAATTAAAACAAGCCAGTGCTACAAGTATCTTTAAATAATACTAAGCAAAAATAAAGCTGTAGAACAAACTATAAATAAAACTCTAGATGCCTGCAAACCATTCTTCTGCTTCTATAAAACATGAACTGTGCAGAGGATCGGCTGATTAATAAGCTTCCATATGGACAGAAGGAAGACTCAGAGATCAGAGCAGACCACAGGGACTCCCATTCTAATTCCCACTGTTATCCCAAATAAACTTAAGCATGGGAAGCGAGTCAGAGTGGAGATAACAAGTCCAGATAATGAGGTAGTGAATACCAATTCAATTCCTAGAGCCATATTTTAAGTAGCTTCTAATACCAAAATAAATAAATAAATAGATAGATAGATAGATAGATAGATAAATAAATAAATAAATGAATGAATGAATGAATGAATAAATAAAGCAAGCACATTAATCAATGTGTTTAGAGTCTTGCAACTTCCTTAAGACTGGGTTATTTTGTTTTAAGTAGTTTGACAAAAATACATAACTTTTTGTTGTAATTCTAAACTTTAAAACTAATAGTCTACATTCATATTCAGAAGACCAGCCATTCTAGTTTGCTTGACATAGAAGATGGATCAGTTAGTCACCCTACTAGAAGGAGCTCACCTTCCCTCTCAGATACTGTGGCTCTATAATGGATAAAGACAAGGAAAATGCTGAGCCTTTGCAAAGGCTCTTTTCCTAAATGCCACAGCAAGTCCTGAGTTCTTTTACTTATTTTTGGTTTTTCAAGACAGGTTTTCTCTGTGTAGCCCTGGGTGTCCTTGAACTCCCTCTATAAACCAGGCTGGCCTTGAACTCACAAATGTGTCTGCCTCTGCCTCCTCAGTGCTGGATTGAAGATGTATACCACCAAACCCAACGATTCCTGAGTTCTTAACAGCCCCTGGACACCTCTGTGCTTTCTAGGCCACCCTACTTTTCTATCTAATTCATCTCAACTATTGGGCCCCCAGAAAATGATGTGGTCTGGGAAGGGTCAAAAGAAAGGGGAGTTGGAGAAAGAAAGAAAGAACTCCAATGAGGACAGTGTCTAGTCTCAGTAGAATTGTTACATTCTAATATCAGGCATCTGAAAAAGACCAATCTCTATGAAAAAGTCTAAAATCCACATCCCTCAGCACATGTTAAGATATTCCAGTTCTCCAAAGTCACATGTGATACCTGTCCAATCATCAGCACAAGTCTTCATAAAGGGAAGGAGGAGGAGGAGTCCCCACAGGCCCAGGAAAGACTTCATTGCTCAGACTGGAGATCCAACCCCACAGAGAAAACAAGAAACAACAAAGAGTAAGAGGCCTTCTTATATGGCAGAATAGATGACCCTCAGTTGGGAGTGATTAACTAGCACCTTTAACACGTGCCACTAAGCACGATCAGTTCCTCATCTAAAATGTAACACTTTATTGAGGTATTGAAGAACTAGAGTGAACATGACATAAAACCTGCCACAGGACTGTTCCCATAGCACACTTGAAATTCACACACAGCTCTTACCCACAACTGCTGAGAGAGGAGATCTCTGCAGGTGATTCAAAAGGAATAGAGGCACGACCCGCATTAGAATCTCCACCATTATGTACAGAGTGATTTTATACACTAAGGTGTACTTTCTTAAAACTCCCCAACATCCCAAAATATCTGTGTCTCCATATCTGAACAATGAAGGAGTGTCTGAGAATATAATTGTCCTCTGGAGCTCCAAATGCAAAGACTCAAACCGTGAGGCCTCACACACTTCTGCTTTGCCCCACCAATCAGAGTCACCTTTTTAAACACACAATGGCTGGATTGCAGCCATTCTGTTTTCTGATTCAGCAAGACTGGAGTGGGACTGGGAATTTACATTGCTGAGTCCCCAAGGGACACTGATACTAATGTCCTCAGAATGGATGGGGCATAAGGACTTGCCTTCACTGAGCATGCTGTGTTGATGCTCAATAGCAGGGTTCGTTCGCAAACTTTAAACTACGATTATCACCTGTGTACCTTGTTAGGCAGCAGCCTCTAACCCAGACGTGGGGATTAGAGCCAAAGATGCTGCAGTTGTAATAAATTCTCAGGTGATACCAATGATTCTCTATGACTACATTTCAAGTAGCAAGGCCTGAAAATAATTCACAGCACAATTATATTCCTTTCTTCCAAAGGTGACAGACACTTCTTCAAAATGAGGAGTTAAAAATCTCAACTATGAAAAATGGCTTAGATGGACATTTAAGTGCTGGGAACGTAACTTAATGGTGGGAAACTTACCTACCTCATTCAGGCCTAGAAGTTTGATTCCCAACACCCAAAAACTCAGATTCAAGCTATTCTGCTTTTCCATCTCTAGATCTATTATTTGAGTTCAGAACTACATCCCATGATATTATAGCATGAAGGACAGAGCTACCGAAAGGTGAAATGACTAGAGGAATGCACCAGCTCTTGACTGCATTGCCGGGAATGTATAATTGCACTAACAGTCTGTTCCAGTAGACGCTGAAGTTATAACTGAACTGGTAGACCTTGTGCTTAGCATACACAAGCACTTGGTTCGAGCCTCAGCACTTTTCTCTCTTTTTCTTTTCTCATTTTTTATTTTTATTTTTTACAATTTATTCATTTTATATCCCGATTGTAACCCCCTCCCTCACATCTTCCTGGTCCCACCCTCCCTCTCTCTCTCCCTGCCCCGTCCCCTTCCCCTAGTCCACTGAAAGGGGAAGAGACCGCCTCCCCTACCATCTGACCCTAGTTTGTCAAGTCTCATCAGGTCTGCCTGGATCCTTTTCTTCTGTGGCCTGGTAAGGCAGTGTCACCAGAGGGAGGTGATCAAAGAGCAGGCAACTGAGTTCATGACAGAGGCAGCCCCTGCTCCCCTTACTAGAGAACCCACATGGGGACTGAGCCGCCTATCAGCTACATGTGAGCAGGGGGGTCTGGGTTCTCTCCATTCAGTCTAGGTCCTTGCTTTGTGCATCAGCCTCTGCAGCCCCCACCCCACCTGGACCCAGATTGTTTTGGCTTTGTTGGTCTCCTTGTGGAGCTCCTGTCCCCTCCAGGTCTTTCTATCCTCCCCCCCTTCTTCCATAAGAGTCCCTGCACTCTGCCCAAAGTTTGGCTGTGCATCTCTGCATCTGCTTTGATCCCCTGTTGGGTGGAACCTTTCAGAGGCCATCTATGGTAGGCTCCCACCCTGTTCCCTCTCTGTTCCACTGCTTCTGGTATCTATCCTGTTTGCCATTCTGAATGAGAATTAAGCATCTTCCCTAGGGTCCTCTTTGTTGTTTAGCTTCTTTAGATCCTCAGCACTTTAAAAAAAGAGATGTGATTACCCATGGGCTACATAAGATGCTATCTCAGAACAAAATACACACAAAAATTGATGTATTATTTATTAATAACAGTTCTACAAAGTCACCATGCCATGAAATCCTTAAGACTAGAGAACATTCCATATATATTTTCATCTCCAGGGCTTAGGAAATCTGTTGCAAAAATGAGAGATAAAGATGTAGCAGTAGAGAGAAATGTAACTATTTACCACTTAGTTTCTTAAGGGAGTTAGCTCAGTGGTAGTGCACTTGCCTAGAAATCTCAAGATCCTAGGTTCAGTCTCCAGCACTGGGGGAGAAAAAAGAAATAAAAAAGAATTTCTCAATCATTTTCAACCCACTTGAAGTACAGGCACATATTTCAACTTGAAAAGTTTTTTTATACTTGCTGCCAAGTAAATGAACAAATCCTTCTGTGTACTGCCCCCCCCGTGTGCATGCGTGTGTGTGTGCATGCGTACACCTCCACACGCATGCATGCATGCGCGCAAGCAAAGGTTCAATATGGAATACAATGCTGTGAGCTTTAGTCTCCATGCTGTATGTTACACTCTAGATTTCATCATCTTAAATAACTGGGAGCTTGCCCGGGGACCTACTTCTCCCCTTTCGTTCACTGCTATTTTTTTTATTGTTTCTTTGTACAATAACGATGTAGGCATCCAATCTCTAATTTTCCTTTTTCTTAAATTTGTATTACTTCTCAGTCTTTAAAAATTAGAGTATGGGAGGCTGGAGTGATGACCTACAGACTCATCCTCTGTAGACATCACTAACAAAATGCTGTGGAACACACATACATACACATCAAACACACACGCATATACACACACCACACACAGGTAATGCAAAACTGACTAAATTTATCTGTACATCTACAATATATTTCTGTGTGAATGCACACAGTACACATTTATACAGCATATATGTATCTATACATACACGTGCGCTTCATACACACACATATACCTTTGGAAAAACTTTACAAAGTAGCACAATATCTATCATTCAAGACTATATTAGGTAGGTCCTTAGGTTTATGTCTTTTAACAAGTTTTGTACATGCATTTTGTATCATTTCATGAATTTTCTTTCATTTTGGTTCGGTTTGGCTTGGTTTGGGGTCAGGGAACTGAGACAGGTTCTTACTATGTAGTTCTGGTTGGTGTGGAACTCCTTGTGTAGACCAGGCTGGCTTCAAACTCACAGATATCTGCCTGCTTCTGTTCTTCTTGCTCCTGCTCCTGCTCCTGCTTCTCCTGCTTCCTGAGTTCAAGGATAAAATGTGTACACTACCACACCTATGAATAGGATTTCTTAAAGTTATCTGATTAACAGGACTCTGTCCCCTTTCTGCCTCAACATACTTCGTGTCAAGTTTGTTATACCTGATTTAACTTTTAAGTTATTGTGAAAACTTAATGATATTTTCAGATCTATCTATCTGATGCCTCTCAGACTACCACTGAAGTGGAAAAAACTAAACAGCATGGTGTAGGAGGTTTGAACTGGAAGTTACATGTTTTATTCTAGGTATACACAGAACTTCTCTTTTATGCCACAATATCCTTTTCATGTGGATTAAATTGTTTTTCAAATAATTCATCAAGCATTATTAGACTTCCCAGGACATTTTCCATATGTACATTTTATTGTTGATCATATAAAAAATTTAACACTAGCGTCTTGAACTTGTACAATAAATACTAGTGTAGACATTAATAAACATCCTTGCTGACATACGTAAAGAAAACTTAGGACTTTCTTGGTCTGTTGGTTTGAATGAGAATGGCCTCTTCAGGCTTTTATATTTAAATAGTAGGTCCCCAGATAGTAGAACTGTTTAGGAAGGATTAAGGGATAGGGCTTTATTGGAGGAGGTATGGTCAGTGAGATTTTAAAAGACCGTTCCCAGTGCTCATTCATTCTCCTCTCTCTGTCTCTCTCTCTCTCTCTCTGCCTCGTAGTTGTGTCTCAAGATGTAAACTCTCAGCTACTGCTCCAGCACATGTCTGCCTGCCTACTGTCAAGTTCTACATCTGCCTGCCCACTACCAAGCTCCCTGTCACGATGGCCATGGGCTCTTCATCTCTGAAGTAGGAAGCTCCAAATAAATGCTTTCTGGCCTTCATCATGGTGTTCTAAGCACAGTGGATCAGAGGAATTTCTAGAGCCTTTATATTAAACAGACTCTCCAGGAAGGACACAGCACTCTCCCAGAACATCTCCACGGTGCCTGGACCCTCAAAGTCTCTTTGGTGGTTGAGAAAGGCTCATTTAGAAAGGTATAAGAGATTAAAGGCTTAGACATGTCACTCTAGCAAGGACCTTATGATACCCCTGAAGAGCATGGGGCTCTCTAACAGATGGGTTAGAAATGGTCAAGACTGGGTCTCTATTAGCCTCTCCTTCCTCAGTTGTTAATAGTGAGTAACTTCTGCTAGGTCAAGGAATTAACTAACTAACTAACTAATTAACTAACTAGCCAGTTGAACTAAATATGTATCACAAACTAGTGCAGATGGCTTCAACCACAGATGACATAATACATCATTGTGTCAGAGTCAGTGGCATCCTGGAATCTACTCATAGAATACCAAAAGACTGCCCAGCAAACTGACCACCTTATCAAGCATTTGGAGGCCTTACAACAAGCAGTTCAAACGCACCTCATAATGTGTAGCTGTGTTCACTTAGCCAACACTGTATTTTTCTAGCCCGTATGTTAAAGAAAGTCTCAGGTGTCTTAAAGGTTTCTTTTTTTCCTCTTCTCTGAATTGTGCTCATTGAATACATCTGACTACAGCCTCAGGTATAAAAACACTTCCGGCTTGCCAGTTCCTCTCAACTACCCAATACCAGAGGAAGTCTCAGCCCAGGGTCTGGCACAATGAAGGCCTTTGCTGTATCAGGACTGCTGCTGTTCGTGTCCGGGATATGGAGGTGTTCTGGGCAAGCGTCAGGTATCAGAACGGAACTTGACTGGTAATGTTTTCAAGGGGTAGTTCCTTATGACCATGAGTTTTGCGGCTCTTGGTTTTGAGAGGTTTATTGTTCCATCTGAAAAGTTAATGACTTACTAATTCCTTGTCCTATATGTTATCTCCCCCTGGGTTACTAGAACATTATTGGCCCAGCATACAGGTTTTACAGACTTAGTCCTCATTGGCCTATGGCTTCTCTTCCCTGCTCACCATGAGTGAAGGTGTTCTGATATCAAAGTGTTGATTTTGTTGAGAGTTGAGTTCCAATCCCAACCTCCACCCCACCCCACCCCCACACACACATACACATTTTTTCCTACAGAAGCACTCTTCAATTTTCTACCAGGTCACCCTTGAGCCATCTGTTCTTCTGTCTGAGTCCCTCTTCCTGCTACTTATCTGTCTTTCAGTTTCCTACCTGTACTATTTAACCATACATTCTTTTTTTATTTTATTATTTTTTATTTTATTTTATTTTTTATTTTTTTATTTTTTATTTTATTATTATTTTCATATTTTTATTATTTATTATAATTTATTAAATTTGTATCCTGGCTGTGGCCCTCTCCCTCCTCGTTCTCCTCCTAATTCCACCCTCCCTCCCTTTTCTCCCTCTATGCCCTTCCCCTAGTCCATGGGTAAGGACCTTCTATTTGACCCTAGCCTATCAGGTCTCATCAGGACAGTCAACCACACATTCTTAATTAGCTTTATTTATGTAATCTCTCTTCCCACCCCACATCACTGTACAATTCTTTTAAAGATTTTTAAAATCTTCTTAAGATTTTAAAAACTCCAGTGTTTGCCTACAGCCAACCCAGTGATATATAGACTAGCCTTCAACATCCCAATCAGGCTGACCGCAAGCTGCTCTCAGATCCCAGAACATCTAACAGTTTCTCAAATAATTGAACAACCTTGTTTCACTACTGGCATGGTATCATGTTCCATAAGACAAAATGGGACAGAACTCATTTAAAATACCTTCAAGCCCTGCAGACTACCAGAGACTCAGCCCAAAGGAGTCAGAATTTAACTTAAGAGTTTTTCCATATAAACTGTTGTAATGTCTCAGAAGGAAAGTTTATTAGTTTATTTATTATTATTATTATTATTATTATAGTATTTGGAGTACAAAGGTGAATTTCTGGAGGCAGCACAATTACTGTGGAGAATATTAGGAATGATACTGTCACTGCTTACAAGAAGGGTGGGGTGTTAGAGGGCAGGAAACAGTCCCTATTCTTTGCCTTTATATAAAATGAAAAGAGAATTGTACAAAATGCCTCTTACAGATGTGATACTCCAAGTTGATGAAATAGGACCAAAATGAATTAAACATTTCTTTTTAGCTGAAAAAAAATATTACTTGAAAGTAATATAAGGGCAAAAAGAAAAAAGAAAGTTAAAGTGCTAGACAGGGAAGTGGAGGTTTCTGAAATGGTAAGGAAGGAGTGTAAGCAAGAGGATGCTTCCATCAAATAGGGCAGCTGCGAAGAATAAAAGAAATGAGGCTGGAGGCAGTGAGCTTCTCCTCAGGGCTGCTGAGGTTGCCCCTCGAAGGGACAGTGGTGGATTCTAGGGTATGGCCATGCAGAAATAGATGGAGGCTCAGTTTTGAAAGCAAAAGTGAGAAGACCCCATAGGAGACTATCTGGGAAGAAAGGGAAGTGGGAACGGGGACTCCATCCTAAGGCCTTTGGGCTTCACTGTTGGATAAGGGTGGTGCTGTTGGCTGGGATGGGGAAACACAGATGAAAGTGAAGTAAAAAACAACATGCGTTCCATCTAAAACATGTGCATGCTGAAGAGAACTACGTCAACCATCCTTTGTATATCTCACAGCTAATTGGAGCTCTATCCCATGGTCAGGAGAAGATTCCGGCAGAGGCAGAAACTGAACATTCTAATCTCCAGGCCGAGGCAGTGTAGTGGCTCCAAAGAGCATAATATTCAGTCTTGGTTCTTGATTCATTCTTTGACCTTGAAAGACTCACATCTTCTCTCCACATGAGCTATATGTCTGCTACTATTTGCCACACAGCCATAGCCTGACAATTAAACCTGGGGGCTATAGAGATGGTTCAACTAGTAAAGTGTTTTCCATGCAAGCACGAAGATCTGAGTTCAGATCTCCAGCACCCACAGAAAGAGCCAGTGATGGGGAAGCAGAGACAAGAGGCTTGCCAGGGTTTGTTGTCCAGCTATTCTGGCAAGGTTGGCAGGCTCCAGGTTCAGTGAGAAAACCTGTCTTAAAATAAATGGTGGGATCTGGAAAAAATCATCCTGAGTGAGCTATCCCAGAAGCAGAAAGATGCACACGGTATATACTCACTCATATAGACATATAATATAGGATAAATCTACTAAAATCTATACATCTAAAGAAACTAATGAAGAGGGAGGACTCTTGCTAAAATGCTCAATTCCTATCCAGAAAGGCAAAGAGGCTGGACATCAGAAGAAGGAGAAAAGAAGGAACAAGTCAGGAGCCTGCCACAGAGGACCTCTGAAAGGCTCTGCCCTGTAGACTATCAATGCAGATGCTGAGACTTATGGGCAACCTTTGGGCAGAGTGCAGGGAATCTCATGAAAGAAGTGGGAAACAGTAAGATCTGGAGAGGACAGGAACTCCACAAGGAGAGCAACAGAACCAAAAAATGTGAGCACAGGGGTCTTTCCTGAGACTCATACTCCAACCAAGGACTATGCATGGAGATAACCTAAGACCCCTGCATAGATGTAGCCCATGGCAGTTCAGTATCCAAGTGAGTTCCATTGTGATAGGAAAGTAGGTTCCATTGTGATAGGAACAGGGACTGTCTCTGACATGAACTGATTGCCTGCTCTTTAATTACCTCCCCCTGAGGGGGAAGCAGCATTACCAGGCCACAGAAGAAGACAATGCAGCCAATCCTGATGAGACCTAATTGACTAGGATCAGAAGGAAGGAAAAGAAGACTTCCCCTATCAGTGGACTTGGGGAGGGGCATGCATGCAGAGGGTGGAGGAAGGGAGGGATTTGGGATGGTAGGAGGGAGGGAACCACAGGGGGGATACAAAGTGAATAAAGTGTAATTAACAAATAATTTTAAAAAAGATAAGGGAGGGGAAAAAAGGCAACACCAAAGCCCCAAATGAAAAAAAAAAGTCCTAATTATGAAGTTAGCTATCTGAGACTGGGAAGCAATAAAATCCTGACCGAATGACTTTACCCTTAAATCTTACCAAGTAATAAAGACTATGTAATGTTTCTACCATCCTATGGAAAAAATTTCACGACAAAAACAAATGAGCTGCATTTTAAAAAATAAAGAAGCTTCTGAGAAAGACATACAACATCATCTTCTGACCTCACACACACACAAAGAGAGAGAGAGAGAGAGAAAGAGAGAGAGAGAGAGATTAAGTTTTACAGAGTCACCAAGGATTGGGGAACATGGTACCCAGCAATAGCACTCTGATAAAAGTACATACCTCTGCTTTCATTCTAAATAGCCACTTTAGTTAATCTCAGGCAGAACTTCTAAGTGTTTTGCAAGTTTTGCAAGTGATTCCATCTGAGGGACATCAATGGAAAGTAAAGAAAAGGGGATTCATATCATGAAAGGAATCATCTTATTTTTGCATCCCTAAAGTATATTTAAATTGGATGTCCCCTAATCCAGCTCAAAATCCGTTGCTACATATTTAGGTGGAGCAGCTGACTGCTTTTTCTTCTCTTTCAACAGTATCAGTGCAATGCAGTTAATTTCATATTCATGTTATAGCTAAACCGGTACTGTTTCATCCAAGTGAACCTGAAAACTCTGATGAAGTATTCCTAGGGACAGTCTGCATAGTGACGTCTGTGGGACCAGATGAACTTGAGTTTGTATATCCTACCTTTTCCTGTGGGATTGTTGTAGAGGTAAGAGAAGGAACTGTTTTGCCCGCTGCCATCTGTAAAGTCCTTCCAGTTGTTGTTTTCATTCTTATTTTAATATGTATGCATGTAATATGTATGCACACAGATAATGCCAACCTAGCGCCATAGCCTAAAAGAAACACAATGTTTTTGTCACTTCTATTCATTCACCGGAGACTTATGTGTATAGGATACTTGGCGTTAATAAGAAAATGATAGACTTTTCTATCAAAATGAATTAAGGTTCTGTTAATATGGCACACATCATTTCCTACAGGATCAGTTCTGCTTCCGCTCTTACAGAGTGAAGAAGTGAGGCATCAAGGCTAGCCGTGTAACCAAACACATGAAGTTAGTAGATAGCAGTCCAAGGATCAAAGACAAGGCCAGCTGATGCCCGGCCTAAGTTCTGTGATAGCTCTGGGGTAAGCAGAATAAAAGGAACAGTGACTAGAAAAATCCACAGAAAATATCCCTAGTGAAGTATCTTATTGTACTTGACTTATAGATCTGTCTCTGTCACTAAACTATAGCTTATCCCTGAGTGTAACACGCACTCCTCCTCCTCCTCCTTGGTGCTCAGTGCCCAGGCCTTATGTTAACAATGGCTCAGGGTCCAAAGGAGGAAAACAGAGGTGTAGTCTTTTGATCGAAGTTATCCCAGGAAGTTAAGGTGCAAGAATGATCTGGGATGGTCCTGAACTAGAAATAGATTTAATTTGCTCACTTGTAATGAGTGTATATGCATGTATTATGTATATATGTTTCATTGAAACCAATCGTACTTCAGCATCTATAAGGAAAACTGAAAGGAGACTTTGGCGTAGGGAGTTTCAAGCACGTCCAAGGTAAATTTAAAACATTCCATTTATCCTGCCTTAATTTGCATTGCTGTAGTCATGGAAATAAGTGTGTCTTCTAGGAACCTAAACTTCATGTCATGAGCATAGAATAACTTAAACAAAATTACGCAAAGATCTTCCAGTCTCTTCTGCCTTGTAGTATATTGTCGATCTCAGTCTGTTTCTCAAGCCTGTGCCTACCTACAGCAAGATGCCAGACACTGATTTGTTCATGTGCACCCATCAAAAGAAATCCAAAGGCATTTTGAGGTTTTTAGCAACTAAAGGCAAGTGTCATATGTAGAGCCCTTCACAGAAGTGAAGCCCACAGTTATCAAATGGGGACAGTCTTCTCCACAAGGGACACTGCAGAATTTGGGGAGACAATATTGATGCCTCCATCCAGAAAGAGAAGGGTACAACTGGAATCCGGTGATGAGGAGCAGATATTCAGCACCTGCAGGCACAGCCCCCCCACACACATATAACAGAGAGCTACCTATCCTAAAGTGCAAGTGTCTCAGCTAAGAAACCAGTCAAAATACCCACACTGATATTCTCTCCTTACTCCTTGCTGTGGGCAGACAATTTCTACAATTGTCACAGTCTAAACTGCCAACCAATTTTAATAGTGTCCATCTGTCTCACTTCTTGATTTGAAGGCTGGATGAGATGAATCTTTCAGACCTTGGCAACTCTATGGATCATCCAATCTTACAGGACATGCTGCAGCTAATCAATTCAACAAGTTACTGACTTTGGAACCTTTCTATTAACTGAGATCATACAACATATCTAATGTGATCCCAAGAGCATAAATAACGGAGGATCAAGTTGTTACAGAACTAGAACCCAGTATGGCAAAACCATCGAGTTGTAACTTATTTGTGAAATGGATATGCATTTCACACTCAGGAAATCCAGTTGGTCAGTATAGATACATCATTATTTTTAGTTAACAGTCTTCCTTCTGATGTGCTTTTAGAAACTTGAACATTCAAAGTAAAGGCCAAATACTGTGTTTGAAGTCAGTAATATCAGAAAGAGTATCTCATTTCTTCATCTTTAAAATCCTCATAGAGCAAGTTTCCATCTAAGTAAGAAGGAAATACTTCCTATAATTTTGATTTTAAAAGTCTAGTGGAAAAGCTCCCAGGACAATGTGACCAGCCTCTTGCCAATCTGATTCACAATCGTACGTAAAGTGTGTTGCTTTATTTTCTATTTGTTACATGCTTCCACAATGCAGAGAGAATGTTAAGCACATTAATTTGGCTGTCTTTATTTCTTGGGTTGGTAGACTGGCAAATGATATCTTTCTTAATTTCTTATTTGAATATATTAAAATGTATTGTGATAAACAATATGTATACTTCAAAGATCTCTTATCTCAACAGATGGTAGCTGATAGCCCTGTCTTGTATACACGGCTCACCAATATGCCCAGATTTATGACTTTTTATGTTGAGCTTAAGCTGAAGTGTGTGATTCCCAGGTCAGTGCAAACACCCCTCCCCCCCCCCACTGGCTCTTTGATTCAACTCCAACATCTCTTGACCAAAACATAGTATTGCTGTCCACAAACCTTGAATTCTTATGTATCTATGTGTCTGCAACATGTCAGTCCATCTTAACCTCTACTGCAGTCCCTACTCAGAGGCCAAATTTTAGGTCAAGAAGTGACACAAGTTAGAAAGCCGTGAGTGGGTCTTCTCTGTTCATCCATCTGTTCCCTGAGAAGTTATCAGGACATGCTGCCAAGCCAACTGCATCGTACCAACATTGGCACACGATATCCATTGAAACTTCTTACCGACACAGATTGGCTTTGATCTTTTGAACAATCAAAAGGACCCTAAGTGGGCCTTGTGCCAGTCAGGTAAAACTAGCTACCTGTCTGACACTACTCAGTGAGTTCAAAGCCAGCCATAAAAACTAGGCGAGACTGTCTCAGTATAAAAAGAGCCCTGGGGATAGAGCTCAGTGGTTGAGTACTTACATAGCAAGCACAAGGCCCTTAGAGGAATCCCAGAGGAAGTTAGGGAGGGAGGGAAGGAAGGGAGACTGAGACTCTAGGTTATTCAAAAATTAGAGTTCAGAAAGTCAAATAAGAATTAATTCCACCCTCTAAGTTTGAAGACAATTCAGTACTAAATGACATGGAAGATTAAGCTTTTTGAAACCCAGATATCTGGTTTAAGCAGTAAGTTTATAAGTCCTGAAGTAAGTTGGAATTAAAGTGTATGGCATTAGCATTTAGGTAAAAAATACGACTCAGTCCTTGCTAATGACAGTAACCACTGAGCTCTGACGTATGCCACCCGTAGCATCTGTGAACCCAGGGCACTTGAATCCTCACCATCAACTCTGTGTGTTCAACATGAATACTGTGTCAACTTAGTGACAGAAAATTAGGCACAAACACATCAAATAATTTTCCAGATTCACATAGCCAGAAAGCCCCAGATTTAAATTTGGCAAAATGACCTGAAAACACTTTTTTTTTTTTTTTAACGACACTTTTTGTGCACTGTGCTGGCTAATGAGTTTATAGAAGTCATGCTCCAAGATGACTCGCTGACATAGTCTGAAATTACAGCAGTTGGGGGCTGGAGAGGTGGCTCAGTTTTGTTTTATTATTATTATTATTATTTATTACACTTTTTTCACTTTGTATCCCCCCATAAGCCCCCCTCCTCCCCTCACAATCCCACCGTCCCTCCCCCTTCTTCACACATGTCCCTCCCCAACTCCACTGATAGGGAAGGTCCTCCTCTCCTTCCTTCTGATCTTAGTCTATCAGATCTCATCAGAAGTGGCTGCATTGTCATCTTCTGTGGCCTGGTAAGGCTGCTCCCCCCTTAGGGGGAGGTGATCAAAGAGCAGGCCAATCAGATTATGTCAGAGGCAGTCCCTCTTCCCATTACTATGGAATCCACTTGGACACTAAGAGCATTTCCTGCTCTTCCAGAGGGCCTGAGTTTGGTTCTGAGCACCCACATCTGTCAGTTCACAACAAAGCCTTAGCCCCAGCTCCAGAGGAGTCTGTAATCTCCTACAGAATCTGTGGGCACTGCACTCATGTACACACACACATAATTTATTAATCAAATACAATCTTTAAATAAAAGTAATCAGACAGTTAGCTCCTGGTAACCTGGTAGTTCAACTTTGGGAGATTCCCCTTCAGCCAGTTACTCTAACACAGAATTTTCTGGAAGTGTTCTTTTTTTAACTGAGAATAATTTCTGTATCCATGAACTTATTAGCCCTCAGTGGAGGATACTGAGTGAGTCTGAGGCTATTGAACATGAATAACACAGCTAGGAAATCTAAGTTTTTAAAGCTACTGAATCACTAAAATGTTGGGTTAAGGCTAGCATTAAAGCCTAGGGATGGTGAGCTTTATGCCTCACACTGCTTTCTAATTCCTGTTTTTATTATTTTGTTCTTACTGTGGAAACACTCGTGTTTTTGATCATCCACAAATGGGCTTTCCTGATCGGTGCTGGTCCCTGGTACAGAACAAGCGCTGCAATCATTGTGGCCGTCCCCTCCTAAGCGATATCTGGGTAAGAGTTTCTACAAGGGCCAAAAATTCATATGTAAACATTCATAGTTTAGGATCAAAGCAAAAATTATCCGTTACATTTTGTATTTGTTTGAGAAATAGCCTATGTTTATCTCAACCATGTTGCACTCAGTGGGAATGAGTCATGCACAGTCACTGTACAACTTGATGAAAGCCTACAGTTAGGTCCAGCTTCATCACCCTCTCTTCATTCTTGAGTGCCTTTCCTTGACGGTAAATATTTTACCTTCGAGCATTTGAAATTACACAATCGAATCCAAAGCCAATGTCTGTAATGGAAGAAAGGGTAGAAAAGTTCTGAACTTACCAATTTAAAACATTCTCTTTGTGTCTTGTCACAAAATGGTGCCCCTGAAAAAAAAATAGTATGAGCAAAACATTTATGATTTACCACTGGGTGTCAAATATATTCAAGATTTCTTTGGAAACACTCGTGTCTTTGATAGCCATTTTCTCTATTTTTTCTGTAGGTCTTTAGAAAATGAGGTCTATGTGGCTCCTGCTCATAAAAGATGGATTATGTACCACCATATCGCTCCTACTTTGGGGCCTAAATTTAGCTAGCTCCAACTCACAGAGCACTCAACTTTCAAAAATTATTCTTGACCCAGGAGGGTGGGATTCATGAGGCGCCACCCCTCTCAGAGGAGCTACTTACAGTTAATGGTGAAGAGAGTCAGTCTCTTCTGTGGAAAAGCCACTGGAGGGTTACCCACATTTCAGTAAATATTCCCTACCTTTGTTGATGCAAGCAATCCTAAGTAAACCCCTCTCTCTCTCTCTCTCTCTCTCTCTCTCTCTCTCTCTCTCTCTGTGTGTGTGTGTGTGTGTGTGCATGTGTGTGAGAGAGAGAAGGACATACAACATTCAAACAGAAAAAAATTTAAGAAAATAAAAATAGAAGGGAAACGTGAGTAAAAAGGGGAGAGGTGATTTCAAAGGCATGAAAGGGGATAAGAGAAACTAATGGGTGGAAGAAAACAAAATATATTATGCAAATGTGTAAGTTTGTCGAAGAATAGTATATTTATTTTTTTCTTAAGAGTAGAGGTTTTTTCATATGGTACATCCTGATATGGTCTTCCTCCCTCTATTCCTCCCAGATCCTCCCCACCACCCCTCACATTTGGTTCTACCACCTTTCTGTCTGCCATTAGAAAACAGAAAGTCTTCTAAAGAATAATAATAAAGTAAAACAAAAGCAAAAACATCACAATAAGACAAAACAAACAGAAGGAAAAAATCCCAAGAAAAGGCACAAGAAACAGATATAGACATAGACTTACACATTGACACTCTCAGGAATTCCATAAAAACATAAAACTTGAAGCCATAATATATACTCAAAGGGCTGATAGGCCAAAGAGACAGACAAGTGGGAGAAATAAAAATTTTTAAAGAGAGACATCACGTAAAAAAGGAACCTCCAAGGATGCGCTAGAGCTCATTTTCTGTTGGCCATCGACTGTCTACATTAAGTAGGCATGCAGCCTACCCTTAAGAAGAATTTATTTCCCCAATGAGACTCCCTTGGAGAAAACTAAATTTTCATTTCCAAGTGTTTATTGATTGGAGCTAGCTTCTATGTTAAGGAGAAGAACATGTGTCCACTTTGCCTTTCAGATCTAGGACCCCATCAAGTGCAGACTAATGGGAGGACCCTGTGTATACTGCTTCGGTCTCTAGGAATTAATATTGTGTCAATCTTGTTGTTTAAAGGGCTTTGTTTCCTTGGTGTCCTGAATCCTCTGTGGTTCTTACATTCTTTCCACCTCTTCTTCCTCTGGCTTTCTGAGCCCTGAAGGGAGAGATTTGATGGAGACATCTCATTTAGAATAGTAGCCACTCTGCATACTATCTGGCTGTGGGTCTCTGTTCCCATCAGATAGAGAAGGAAGCTTCTCTGATGTGTGAAAAGAGAATGTCATTGGAAATCATTTATTGCTAGGCTCCTTTGGTAGAACAGCAGTATTTGGCTTCCCCTCTAGGTCCCTGGGCTATCTAGTCTCAAGATTTTGCTCACCTAAGCAGCAATGGATATAGGTTCCATCTTTTACTTAAGGAGTGAGCCTTAAGTAAAATCAGATATTGGTAGGTTACTTCTACAAGCTTTGTGGCGGCGTTGCACTAGAATGTCTGGCAGTCAGGACACAATTGTATCTCGAAGCATTTGTAGAGGAGTTAGTGTTTGTGTTTCTTCTTTGGTAGCATGAGAGTACCTTCCAGTACCAAGAACACGACTTTATAATGGTGAAGGCTCTAGGTAGGCACCAGCTCAACTTCTCTGTGTTCCGTGAGTTGTTGAAGTCTTGTCTTCAGCAATAGGACAGTACTATCAGTTTGTGGAAAACAACCAATAGCCTTGGCAACCTGGGTTGTTGGGAGTTCCCATGATACTCCTTTGTCCAACAACTCAATTAGATACAACCCATTCCCAGTTCTGGAAGCTTCATTTGGTGACAAAGGATGTCCATTTGGAGCTGTCTCTCCTGTTACTTGGTGGTTGCATTTAGATCATATATGTACATGTTTTAAGAAGCTTCTACTGTGTTATGTTTCCATACTACCCATCAAATGGCCCTTAATTTTAACTATCTCTTCCTTTGTTCCCTCCTTCATTCTGCTCCCTACTTGATCCTCCCATTCCAATTGTTCATCTTTGTCCATCCATATCTATTCTATTTCCTTTTCCTAAGGAGATATATTTGCCCCCTAGTCCCTTACTCTATACTTAACCTCTGTGGTTCTACAGATTGTGTAGTTTGATTACCATTGAATTAATAGCTAATATCCACATATAAGTGAATACATAATATTTGTTTTTCTGGGCCGGGGTTACCTTACTCGGGATATTTTTTTTCTGGTTGTCCATTTACCTGTACATTTCATAATTTCCTTTTTAATGGCTGAATAATATTCTATTGTGAAAATGCACATTTTCCTTATCCATTCTTCTGTTGTGAGACATCTAGACTATTTCCATTTTCTGGCTAGTGTGAATAGAGCAACAATAAACATAGTTGAGTAAGTGTCTTTATGGTAGAATGATGCATCCTTTGGGTATATGCCCAAAACTATATATGCTTGGCATAAATGGAACTTGTGGTAGATCTCTTCCTGTCTTCCTGAGGAGCCACCACAGTGATTTCCATAATGGCTGTACAAATCTGAACGCCCACAGCAGTGGATGAGTGTTTCCCTTACTCCAATTCCTTGCCATCATGAGCTTTCATTTGTTTTATTGATCTTGGCCATTCTTATGGGCATAAGATAAAATCTCAATCATTTTAATTTGTATTTCTCTGATGACTAAGCATATTGAACATCGCTTTAAATGTTTCTCATCTATGTGAGTTTTTTCTTTTGAGAATTCTGTTTATATCTTTATTCCATTTTTGATTGGGTTGTTTTCTTGATATCTAGTTTCTTGAGTTCTTTATATATTTTGGATTTTAGTCCTCTATCAGATGTGTATTTTGTAGAACTCTTTTCCCATTCTGTAGCCTACCACTTTGTTGGAATGATGGTGCCCTTTGTCATGCAGAAGCTTCCCAGGTTCATGAGGTCCCATTGATTAATTGTTGATCATAGTACCAGTGTTCTGTTCAGAAAGTCTTTTTCTATGCCAGTGAATTCAAGGCTCTTGTCCACTTTCTGTTCCATCAAATTCAATGTCTTTTTGATCTATTTGGAGTTGAATTTTGTACACAGTGATAAATATGGGTCTATTTGCATTCTTCAACATGTCTTCTACAGACATCCAGTTTGACCAGCACCATTTGTTTAAAATGTTGTCTTTTTTTTCCAGGGTGTATTTCTGGCTTCTTTATCAAAAATCAGGTGCCCATAGATTTTATCCACTCAATTAAATTGATCAACATGTTTGTTGTTGTGCTAATACCATGCTGTTTTTACTACTATAGCTTTATAGCACAACCTGAAATAGGGAATAGTGATACCTCCAGCAGTTCTTTCATTATTCAGAATTGTTTTAGCTGTCCTGGGTTCAGTGTTTCCATATGAAGCTGAAATTTATCCTTTCAATTCTGTGAAAATTTGTGTTGGAATCTTGATAGGGATTGCACTGAATCTATAGTTCACTTCTGGTAGAATGGCCATTTTTACTGTGAAAACTTCAATTTGAAGAGGTTAACCACGCCAAGAAAAACTACAAGGAATAAATAATCCCAGCAGGGAAAAAAAATCCCACATAATACAACAACAAAATAATAGGAATCAACAACAAACACTGCTCACTGATAACTCTTAACAGAGGTTTCAAGTCCCCATATGTGGTGGGTGTGTCTTGCTTGGTAGGGAATTCTGGGATCTTGCCAGGTGCTGCCACTGCGTGTTCCAGGGAGAATGTGTTTCTAGGTATTAGGAGTTGACATTTAGGAATGGAAGGGCACGGGGCTGAGGACCTCCACAGGAAGGATGAAAGCACGGTGTTCCACCAGTATCTGCTTAATCCCCCTTAGAAATGGTGGTGGGGTGTGAGGAGAGGCACCACCAGTAATCTGCTACAGAGATTAGGATGATATCGGGGACTGGATTTAGAGGGAAGAGAGATTGAAAACCTGTAGGTTACCTACCTGCTTAGCTGACCTACTTGCTTCCCTGGCAGGCTTAACTGGTGGGTTCCTGGGAAATGCTTGCTGGAGTTGGGGGCTGGGTTAATAGGATGAGTGGGGAGAAGGAAGGTTAGAGGAGAAGATCTGAGCACTGGAGATGGGGGCAGGGGGGAAGGAGAGGCTTCAGCAAGTGGACCGTTACAGAGTTAGGGGTGAGACTGAGGGAATGGATTTAAAGGAGAGGAGGGGGAAGTGAATGTCTGCAGATATCCTACCTCCATTTAAATTTTTTATTTTATATTTTATTTAAAACAATTTTTAAATTTAAATATATTTTTGATCATGTTCTCCCCCAATTCCTTGGTCATAATTACCAACATATAAGGTTGTTGCATTAAAAAAAATTTTTTTAGGACAGTGATTGATATATATTGAAGAATCAATAGTGCTATTACTGTTACTCCATTAAAAATAAAATAAAATTTAAAAGCCCCTATAATGGAAGAAAAATATTCTTGAGCCTTGGGATCTTAAAATAGTAAATATCAGTTGCTGAACTTTTTCCCCACAGTCAAAACCTCCTTATGGGACAAAGAATCATTCTCTTCAAAGACCTTTTCATCCATCCTTTCACCATTGACTGACCACAGCGACACAAAGTTTAAGAATATGTCACAGCCTTTGGTATTTATATAATTGCATGTTTTTATTTTATTTTAATATACTATAACCCTTTGTGATGCCTTTGAAAATAATCTATCAGTGTTTTTAACCATTGGTGTAACCACAATCTATAAATAAAAGTTTTTATTGTGTGTATTATTGTGCCTCTAAATAGAGCTAATTTAGTTTTTATATTTCTAGGCTAAATTAACAGAAAAGTGGGAGCTGGGGCAAAGCAATTACCAGTCTTGTTTTCACTAGTTTTTGATAGCTTGCCTATTGAGAACTAGTCCCTGCTGTGTGCAGTAATAAAGCCTATGAGCTTGC